ATTTTGGCATCCCTTCATTGGCTTCCAGTGTCTTTCAGGATTCATTTTAAGATTCTTTTATTTGTTTTTAAGTCTTTGAATGGTCTTGCTCCATTGTATCTTGCTGAGCTTTTATTTCCTTATAGTCCCTCTCGGTGCCTCAGATCAGCTGACCAGCTCTTGCTTGAGGTACCGTGGGCCAGGCGTAAACTCAGAGGGGACAGAGCGTTTTCCATTGTGGCTCCTAAGCTATGGAATGCGCTGCCCCTTTACATCAGGCAGGCCGCCTCGTTGGCTATTTTTAAAACTTACTTGAAGACTCACTTGTATGCTTTGGCGTTTGATATGCTATGAGACTCTGTTTGGGCTGAGTTTTGGTTGATAGTATTTTGTTATTTTGCTATGTTGGTTCTTTTATGTTATTTTATTGGTATTTTAATATTGTAGTTGTCACGTTTTTAGATGTTTTGAATTGTATCTTATGTTAAGCACTTTGTTGGCCTCGGCTGTGTTCAAGTGCTTTATACAGTGCCTTGCGAAAGTATTCGGCCCCCTTGAACTTTGCGACCTTTTGCCACATTTCAGGCTTCAAACATAAAGATATAAAACTGTAATTTTTTGTGAAGAATCAACAACAAGTGGGACACAATCATGAAGTGGAACGAAATTTATTGGATATTTCAAACTTTTTTAACAAATAAAAAACTGAATAATTGGGCGTGCAAAATTATTCAGCCCCTTTACTTTCAGTGCAGCAAACTCTCTCCAGAAGTTCAGTGAGGATCTCTGAATGATCCAATGTTGACCTAAATGACTAATGATGATAAATAGAATCCACCTGTGTGTAATCAAGTCTCCGTATAAATGCACCTGCACTGTGATAGTCTCAGAGGTCCGTTTAAAGCGCAGAGAGCATCATGAAGAACAAGGAACACACCAGGCAGGTCCGAGATACTGTTGTGGAGAAGTTTAAAGCCGGATTTGGATACAAAAAGATTTCCCAAGCTTTAAACATCCCAAGGAGCACTGTGCAAGCGATAATATTGAAATGGAAGGAGTATCAGACCACTGCAAATCTACCAAGACCTGGCCGTCCCTCTAAACTTTCAGCTCATACAAGGAGAAGACTGATCAGAGATGCAGCCAAGAGGCCCATGATCACTCTGGATGAACTGCAGAGATCTACAGCTGAGGTGGGAGACTCTGTCCATAGGACAACAATCAGTCGTATACTGCACAAATCTGGCCTTTATGGAAGAGTGGCAAGAAGAAAGCCATTTCTTAAAGATATCCATAAAAAGTGTCGTTTAAAGTTTGCCACAAGCCACCTGGGAGACACACCAAACATGTGGAAGAAGGTGCTCTGGTCAGATGAAACCAAAATCGAACTTTTTGGCAACAATGCAAAATGTTATGTTTGGCGTAAAAGCAACACAGCTCATCACCCTGAACACACCATCCCCACTGTCAAACATGGTGGTGGCAGCATCCTGGTTTGGGCCTGCTTTTCTTCAGCAGGGACCGGGAAGATGGTTAAAATTGATGGGAAGATGGATGGAGCCAAATACAGGACTATTCTGGAAGGAAACCTGATGGAGTCTGCAAAAGACCTGAGACTGGGACGGAGATTTGTCTTCCAACAAGACAATGATTCAAAACATAAAGCAAAATCTACAATGGAATGGTTCACAAATAAACATATCCAGGTGTTAGAATGGCCAAGTCAAAGTCCAGACCTGAATCCAATCGAGAATCTGTGGAAAGAACTGAAAACTGCTGTTCACAAACGCTCTCTATCCAACCTCACTGAGCTCGAGCTGTTTTGCAAGGAGGAATGGGCAAAAATTTCCGTCTCTCGATGTGCAAAACTGATAGAGACATACCCCAAGTGACTTACAGCTGTAATCGCAGCAAAAGGTGGCGCTACAAAGTATTAACTTAAGGGGGCTGAATAATTTTGCACGCCCAATTTTTCAGTTTTTTTATTTGTTAAAAAAGTTTGACATATCCAATAAATTTCGTTCCACTTCATGATTGTGTCCCACTTGTTGTTGATTCTTCACAAAAAATTACAGTTTTATATCTTTATGTTTGAAGCCTGAAATGTGGCAAAAGGTCGCAAAGTTCAAGGGGGCCGAATACTTTCGCAAGGCACTGTATGAGGAGGAAGACTACTTTAGTGTGTTTCTGAGTTGACTGTGTGTCAGACCTGTAAGAAAGGCACAATGCCATCCCGTGCAATGGCCTGTAGCAGACGTGGTGCGCCGGTCAAGCTTTGCAGCCCTGCCCCACAGCAGGAGAAGAACGAACCAATCACAATGACCCAAGGTGAGGGCCAGGATAATGTGCCTATAACGAGGTTCCCTTTAACCGAGTCACCAAATCTGCAATAGAAAAAGCATTAACTTAAAGGATAAGTCTGGTGATATTCTGTTTTTCATACCGTTAACAAATCCCATGAAAGGACCAAAAGGCAAAAATGAATAGATCCTACTAACAAGCACTGTGTCTGATAGTCCTCTATGACAGAGAGCTAAAGTACACATCAGCAAACCACACTGTACTGTACTAGTTGACATTCTGAACAGACACAGTGCACTTACTTCCACACCAGACCTGTTGCTATACTCACTACAGCACTGAATGTGGCCTAATCTGCAGCTGAAAATAGTCCTGAGCAAATGCACTGCTTCGTCCTGCTCAAGTAACATTTGCTCAAAACTACAGCACCCATCTGAAGCATGAACCTGCTTAGTCTTTTTTTTAATCAATGTATATATATTTGTGACTTGTTTTTACAAAGCAACTACACCTTAAACATTTTATTTATACTCTACATTGATGTATTTTAATTTATAAAAAAGCTGTTAGTAACACAGGTTGATGTAGGTGAGGTAAAAGCTGCCTGTACACTGACCTTACACAAAATTACAAGCATGCACCCACATTACTAAAGAGGATCTGCTGTACAGTACTTCTCCTGACTCAGTGTTATAACATACAGTGGTCTAATCACATATGCAGGGATTTGAGTCTAAAACACTGACTCTTGTGACAAGGACACTTAGTGACTAGATAAGATGGAACATAAAGGCCAAAACCTGAACAATACCATTTTTTTCCAAATCCTACTATTAAAAAAACCCATGAACAGTGACATGGTCATTCATCACATTTTGTGTGAGACATGAGTCCAGTACTTTACAGTATGCGCTCTGTGTGACACCTACTTGTCTTGAAGTAAAACGCCCTCAATGCAAGCACCAAACAGAACCACACAGCTGATGTCTGGAGCAGCACTGTTCAGGAGAGAAATGCAATTACATTTATGTTAAACTGTTGTGAATCTGTTCGGTCCATACACTACCTACAAAGTAAAAGGTGGCACAGTGTGCCATCCTTCACTTGTTTTTTTTTTATTCTCCAAAGCCTTAGTTGTGATTCCCAATCTCAAAACAAATGCCCGGAGGTCCTTCTCTAGTTGCTTAAGCTATACTAACTACAACACAATACAACTACAAAATAGCTATACTACTTTGTGAATCAACCATTCCAGACATTTCTCTAGATTTTCAGTATCACTTTCATATAAGAGGTTTAAGGATACAGATAATGGAAGTGGTAGCAATAGCCAGGATGGTCCCAATGGGGATGGACCTCTGGGCATCCCTTAAGTCACCAGACCGGTTTGACCCAGCCATGATACCTGGAAGGGAAGCAAACAAGAGAATATCAAAAATGAAGTATTTAGAAATTAAATACAGCAATTCTGACCATAATGGTAGTTCACAAGTACTCCCATTGTGGGTCTGTCGGTCACTTCATAGTCTCACCAGTGACAGAAGGGAAGTAGATGCCAACCAGCAGCGTGAAGAAGGTTGTGATATCATTGACTACATAGGGCATGTAGATGTCCTGGGCAGGGTCACTTCCCCCAAGTGACAGCAACTTCCTGTCTTTTACCAACATACCCGAAGGGCCATACTGTGACCACATATTTTCTACAAGAGAGACAAACAAAGCATTTGGACTCCAAACAGCAAAGCAGTTTGTCAAGGATTTCTAATTAACTCAATTTACAATACAAATTGTTCTCTTTAGACACACTGAAAGATCAAGAGGTAAGAAGATACAAAAAAGTAAATACTTCTGGATGCATATAAACTCTTGGCAATCAAAACCAGCATGAGAAAATTATGTAAATCAAAGTTAAACCATTTTATAAGTCAAACATTGTATAAGTGCTCCAGACTATCCTTAAATTAACATGATAATCATCAAGTTCATAGCACTGGATGATCCAGCAAACAAATGGCTGGAGCTTAAAGAAAACTGGTAATTAAAAGCAGGCAAGACAGCACAGGGAAGCAAACAGATTAAAGTCAATGTAATCAGAATGGAGACTTCCAAACACACTAAAAGTCAAACCCATCTGAGACAGAAGGGGAGAAAATGCTAAATCGAGACAGAAGGCTGCTCACCAAGAGCCTCCAACGGATCAGAGGGTTCTTCTGTTAAAGGGAGTTTTTCTTCCCTGCTGTCGCCAAGTGCTTGCTCAAGGGGGATTTGTTGGGTTTTCCCTCTGTAATAATAGTGATAATAGTAAGGTCTAGACTCTAGACCTTACTTTGTATAGTGTCCTGAGATGACTTTTGCTGTGATTTGGCGCTATACTAATCAAATTTGCTTTGATTTGAATATTTCTGAGATGGACGATCAAAATGGTAAGAAGGACTTATTTGAGGGAGACTGGGGAGGAGAAAAAGAAATAATCACATTGGACCTGCATGCACTTGGCTCAGTTGCTTCACTATAAATATGAGAAGAATACATTTGCATTGGTTTGAAGTAAAACTAGTTTTTCACGGCCAACAGCTACATAAGAGGAGGAATGTTCTGAGTGGATATTAAATAAACATTGTGATTCTTGACTGAGTAGATTCCTACTGAAAGATTGAGCTTTTCTAAGCCTGTTTAGTTATCTTTCGATGTCATTTCAACGCTAATTTTGGCAGGCTTGTTATGCAGGCTGGAAGAGGTTCAGGCAGAATGTTAATTCTGGATAATTTGGACAAAAAAAGCATAGTTGAACTAAACTTGATTCACAACTGAAAAATTGCAGCTAACTACCTATAAACTATGATAACTGCAATAATTCAACTGGTCTGCCTTATTATATGAGAAAAAGGTGACCACACAACAGCTTCATGTTGCAACCAAACCTTGTAGAAGAAATACGGCATTCCAACCTGAAATGACTCCGCTGGTCAGCCCGGGGATGCCCTGCACCAGGGTCACATTGTTGTTGACAAAATAGTCATTGCAGGTGGCATTGAGTTCAGGTCCACTACAGAACTGCTTCCACAACTTGGTTGTAACTGTCACGTTGTCTATAACCTCTGTTTTCAGACAGGTATCAAATTTGTGGTTCTGCAGAGTGCGATTTCCCAACATGCAAACACTGTAAGGGGTAAAAAAAAAAAAAAAAGAAGATAAGCGTTAGATTCTCTAAATGACACACAGTTTATGTTTACATTGTTGCATTGCATGTCTCATGTTTTAAAAACAATTTAAACGGATAAATAATATGTTAATAAGCTATCATAATGAGCTGCAATGGCTAGCTGACAATGCACAACATGGTTCAATGCACCACTGGAAGCACCGGGTAATGCAAAGTGGACTCACGGAAAGTCTGGGGGCTCAAAGATCGTCTTGATGACTCCAGCATAGATGGAGAGAATGGAGAGAATGACACAGGCCAGGAAGACTAAAGCTAGCTTGTTAACATATTTCACCCCCACATAGACAACAACAGCCATCATTGCAAGGCAGCATGTGCCATAAACACGCATGTTATTCAGCAGGGCATTGGCCTCATCCTCCTTTCTTTCTGCTATGAAGATGGCTGCTTTAGGCGTAATGTAGGTCTGAAATGCCAGGGGAGAGATGAGACAAAAACAAGAAAGAAAGAAAATATATATACCTGTGACCTTCAGTATGAAGAAAGGACAAATTAGAGCAAAACTCAGATATTTAGCTTTCTAAATATTTTTGTCTAAGTCAAAATGCAAGTTTGGGTAAATAGCATAAACCTGGTTAGGTGAGAAGAAAAGACAACCTTACTGAACTGTAAGTAGTAAGCTGTAGGACAGTGACCATATAGAAGTATTCCAAGCACACTCACCAGCAGAATCTCTATAGTGCCCAGGATGTACATGGAACCAGCAAAGGTTGTCCCCAGGTAGAAACAGAGGCCTACAGCTCCACCAAACTCTGGGCCCAGAGACCTGGAGATCATGTAGTAGGAGCCTCCAGCTTTGCAGGGAAAAAAAGAATGACTTTTATGAGAAAGAGGATAGTAACTTCTGTTAAGCCAGTATTTTAGGGACTTGGAGAACTTTTAGAATTTTGTACAACCCAAAACACATCTTACTCAAATATAGGTTTTAAATGATTTGCAGTCATTGTATTCAGTTTTTATTTACAGTTTACACAGCATGCTAACTTTTCAGGAAATGGGGATGTAATATAGTCTGAGATACTTTCAACAAGTAGCATACTTTTTCATATTTTGGTGAAAGCCTAAGGCTTAAACATTTTCTATGCTGCTGATATTCTTATCTTCTTCTTGTTCTTTTGGCTGTTCCCGTTAGGGGTTGCCACAGCGAATCATCTGTTTCCACTTAACTCTATTCTCGGCATCCTCTACTCACACCAATTAATTTCATGTCCTCTTTTAGCACATCCATATATCTCCTGTTTGGCCTTCCTCTTGACCTCTTGCCTGGCAGCTCCATCTCCAACATCCTTCTACCAATATAACCACTATCCCTCCTCTGCACATGTCCAAACCATCTCAATCTGGACTCTCTGACCTTGTCCCCAAAACAGCCGACCTGAGCTGTCCCTCTGATGTGCTCATTCCTAATCCTGTCCATCCTGGTCCCTCCTAAAGAGAACCTCAACATCCTCCTCTCTGCTACCTCCATCTCTGCCTCTTGTCTTTTCCTCACTGCTACAGTCTCTAACCCATACAGCATAGCTGGTCTCACTACTGTCTTGTACACCTTTCCTTTGATTCTTGCTGACACTCTTCTGTCACACAACA